TTTTTTTTTTTTTTTTTTTTTTTTTTTTTTTTTTTTTTTTTTTTTTTTTAATCAGTGTATACTTATTTTGGGATATCATTTCTTTTTCATGACTTTTGAACTGTTTTTTTTTATGATTAAAAAAAATTTTTAATTTAATACGACTCTTGAATCAATTGAATCAATTACTTTTCATTGCATACATACATAGCAATATATACTTAAAAGAGTGTCTATGTAGTCATTGCGTTGAAATATCAATATTTTCAGAATTAAATATTCGGTTAATCGATCTTGTATTTCTATAATTAAACTATACGTGAATTTTTGAGATATTAGTATTTTAATGTTTCATATTAAATTTTATTCAAATACATTTGCGAAATTTGGTTTCAATACGAATAAATATTTTTCTAACGATGACTGATTGTATTGTTTGCTTTTTTCATTATCACTCAGTTGGAATTTCAATTGTGTACGAGAGCAAACTAACTTCCTTAATGAAAGAGTCGTTTGATTCAGATAAAATCGCTGGCAGCAAAAATACATTCGTAACAAGGCACATGTAGACTTGGACACAATTACTTTATGGATTTTTAAAACCCTTTTTTTTTCAATAAAATTGCATTCTTTTTGCTGAAAAAAAATTTTCTACATCACTAAGTATACATAATATATTATTAAGAAAAAATTTTTTCCTGACAAATAAGTGCAATAAATTATAAATATCAAAGTTTATTACATAGTACTTAATACCAAATATTTAAATACCTTTTTAAACAATTTGACTGTTTTTTTTCTATTAAATTATAGTACATTACTCTTGCTCGAAAAGCTTTATTGTTTAAATAATGCATTATACTTTGAGTAAAAAAAGTATTTTAAAAAATTTATAAAGTTCCACGTCTGGCAAAATCTGTTATATGCACATATTGAGACAAAATTCTACCATACACCTTTTTCCTTTTTCTCATGTACCTATCGATGATTCAAGAACAATAGGCATGGTTTTAATAATTAAATGATTACTCTTGCCATAATTTGTTACAAAAAATCATTCGTATTATTATGGAACACCTTGACCAACAGAGTAATTTGATTACAATTTTTTCTCTTTCGATCACAAGCGGACACCCCACGATTTGAGTTCGAATAGGACACTCGTGAGACTCTTTGACGCAAAAAAAATGTTCTTCCCATCACCACATATACACGACAGCTCCCCATTTTGGCCATTAACGCGTTGACAACCGAGAAAAGTTAATATATGACCCCTCTCGAATATCCCTTTCGTAAATATATTCCAAGAAAATCTCAAGACATAAGTACAAATGAATCCCCACGTCGCGCGTAGTAGAAACTCTCGCTTATTTGAAATTGAAAGTTTTCCAAGATAAGCCGAGGAGAGCACTCGAGCGCGGAAGAAAGCGTATACAGTAAGTACACTCGAGGGCTCGAGGAACGGCACGTATACGCGTAATCTCGAGGATCTCCCAGTATACAGTCTGCCCGAGGTCTGCCTCTTTTTGAACAAATAAAATCCGAGCTGTTTTAAAAGGGCCGACTCTGCTCTTTTCAAGCCATGCGCTTCTGAAGAAAAAACCCCCGGGGCTTTTCACCGCGAAATTTGTCCGCTCCGTGGATTAAAAAAGCAAAAAAGAATTTTACTTTTTCAAACAAATTTTCGTGCCAATCTGCAATAATTATCACAACCACGTAAAATTTCCACGAAACTTGTACACGGAGAGCTTTACGGTACAGGCATATATATACGCGTGAGTCATCTGGATGTGTCTATACGAATATGTATCGTATACGCTGTACAGAAGCCCCGAGGCGAC